TAAAAAAAGAAAAAACACACATCCAAAGACTTTTAAGAATCCTAACAACAGATTTAGGCTGATAACAAAAGCTGGCACAAAGGGATTTATTTCCCGTGTTTTTAAACAGTAATGCTGCAAAAATGAACATTTAAAAACAATAAAGTTGTCTTATGAGCTAAAATTATACAAATATACAATAATACTTTTAGGTCACAGTTTTTGATTCAAAACAAAACTGATTCACAACTTTCAGACTGGTATTGCAGGGGAAAATCTTTCTCCTGTCCATCCACAGAAAATATTATTTTAACGTCTGTGTAGTGTGTCATGAGAAGCAGGTGGGTCTCCTTTTATTTTTCCCTCAGATGAGTTTATCCCTTAATATCTAATCCTAAATAAGTAGCTTACATGGTAATGTTGCTGGTTCGCCTTCCAGCCTTCCTGGGTGGAGTTTACATGTTCTCCCTGTGCATGGGTGGGTTTTCTCTGGTTTCCTCCCACWGCCCAAAAACATGCATGTTCGGTTTATTTTGGTAGCTCTAAACTGTTCCCAGGTGGGAGTGAAAGCAGAGTATGAATGGTTGTTTGTCTCATTTGTCTCTGTGATGGACTGGAGGCCTGTCCGGGGTGTCCCTGCCTCTCGYACAGCGACTTCTTGAGATGAACTCTGGCTCCACGAGACCCAGTAAAGAAAATGAATGGACCTTGAAAAGTGAGAAACAGGGGTTTCCAATCCTGGTCCTCGAGGGAACTCTATCCTCCATTCTTTAGAGGTTCCTCTGCTCTGAATCACCTGATTTGAATGAATGGAAGATTGAGACATCTGCAGGAGGTAATTCAGTCCCTGAATCAGGTGTTGCAGCAGGGAAACATGCAGGACAGTGGCTCTCAAGGACTGGAGAATCCTGCTTTAAAACATCTGTGCTGGTGATGGACGGTGATTCCATTTCAGCTCAATTCTCAATCCACTCGACTCTCGTCTCTATATTTAAAGTTATTAAAAATGAATGCACACACACACACACACACACACACACACACACACACACACACACACACAC